GTGAATTTCTGTGGATTTTACTAGTCCCAACTTTGAGGTTCTTTAAGACACTAACAGGACTGCATAGAGGCTTTTTCAGCATTACTGTGCCAGTATGTGCCATTAGAAATGGAAATTACATTTGAAAGCCATTAGACTTCTAGGTGATGCAGGCATCTAAAAGAGAGGTTATCACACTATAGCGGCATATGTGGTGACATTTTTCCTTTTTATAATTGTTTAAATCGAGTTTTATACCAATGTTTAAAATTAATTGGGTGTTAGTTTAAAGCGGTTAAAGGTTGTTTGGGGGGAGTTTACTGTAATGGTTTTTCTGTAAAAAGTGTTTCAAACTCTGCTGAGATGTTGCTGAAAAGCATGATGCTGGTTACAGTTCAAACAATCCATGGCTGCTCATTCTTGCCTACTATTATTCTCCCTCTGAAGCAGGTTAGCATTGAAGGTGGTATGGAAAAGCCTGCATGCATGTTCAATTCTCCTTCCCCCTCCCTCTGGGACCCCACACTCCTTCCCTTCTTCACTCGCTCAAACTCTGTCTTTCAACTTGAAGCTGATTTGTACTACTGGATATCTAACTGGAGCCACAGATACAGAATCTGTATTGTTCTTACTGAAACACAGCATGGAATGAACATTAAACAAATAAAACAAACCTAAATTAAAAATGCCAAAACAAACAAACAAACAAAAAAACTGTGAGACAATACATTCCTATTGTTTTAAGCCTTTTGTTTTGTGATCATTTGTTCAGCGGCTAGGAAACTAATGTAACTGTTATCATCATCCCATTTTACAGATAAGAGAATTGAGACTTAAAGAGGTTAAATAGAATAATTTGCCCACTGTCATGCAGCTAAGAAGTTTCTCTGACTACAGTTTTATTTCACATTTTGTGAGTATCTTCACAGAGATTATGACTTCTCAATCTCATTGCCCTAGGTCTGGCTCAGAGCCCTGTGCATAGTAGGGGCTTTTGTATAAGGGGGCTTCGAAACATTCCAAGAAAAATTCCATGATCTTTTAATTCCATTTTTCCATGAAACTTTTGAAGTTCCCTCATACAGGTTTCTCAAGTAAGTCCTCAATGTTTGCCCTAAAAGTTGTTTTGACAAAGATCTTTCACCTCAGAATGGATAAACTTGACTAAAAACCCAGAATGAGACATCCCTTCTTTCTTTTATTGTGGCTATAGAGTATCAATCACAAGCTTGGCAGTTCAAGCCCACTAACTGTTCCTCGGAAACCCTATACAGGGTCACTATGAGTCAGAATCGATTCTACAGCAATTAACAACAGCAACACAGTAGTTTCTTATCTTCTTGTACAGCATTTTCAAGGCCTTCTTGATTGTGATTCCTGTACTCAACAGCAAATTGGCAGAGACAAGGACATCCACAGTGGCCAAGGCTTTGATGCATGAATGACCAAAGACTTAGGGCTTTCTCCTGGACATCCCTGCTGGCCACTGCTGTGTCCCTTTTTTTCACATGGGAATACTGGAGCTGGGTTTGAGGGTAACTTTTCTTTTTTCTCTTTGGGGATCATGTCAGTTCACTTCTGGGGAGGCCTTACTTGAGCCAAGCCCTTTGAGTAGATTCCATAATCTCCTTATGCCCATAACAAAAGTGACTCCTCATCATTAAGTACCATGGAGTTGGTTCCAACTCATAAAAGTGACTCAGGAGTAAGTGAATTCAGTAAAGTAAGGTAAGGGAATGAATTATTATTGTTTTGTGCCTTGAGTCTATTCTGAGTCATTGCAACCCCATGTGACAGAGTAGAATTGTCCCCCAGGGTTTTCTAAGCTATAAATCATTATGGGAGCAGATCGCCAGGTTTTTTTTCTTGAGGAGTAGTGTTGGTGGTTTGAAGCATCAACCTTTCAATGAGCAATCCAGCACTTAATCACTGAGCCATCAAGGCTCAATGCAAATAAACAAATAAACTAACCCGACTACACAGACCAGGTGAGAAAACAGAGGTTTGTGTGGCACTGTACGAGAGCAAATTTGAGAAGGGTGGTCCCTCAGGAGAGATGAACCATAAAAAGCTTCTTCCTCCCTGAGTGGGGAAGACCCCACTCAGACTGAAGAGGGAGTCACTGTTGCAGGTTGTGCTTTGCATTCAGGGGACCACAATGAAGTTTACAACAACTCTTTGCCGGAAGCCTCCAGAGCTAAATCTCTCATAGCAGGTGACAGAAAATTGGGTCTGCTTCTCAATTTCAAACTCTCCTATGATTCCACCACCTAAGGGCAGGGTCTCAACTCCTTCCTGACTCTAATTGAACCACCTGTTTCTAGCCATCTTGACTCCAAGTCTCTCCCCAAACTCGGAAAAGGCCTTACCAAATCTCATAAATGCTCCACTCTGGTTTTTCCTTATCAGTGGATGCTTCCAAACACTTATGCCCCTCTCTAGGAGGGTGGGACTCAATATGGATGGATGAATGAGAAACAATGTTAAGAAGGAGAAATGTAAAATTTTAATGCAGAATTTACTTTTCAAGATTAGAAATCTAATCTTGAATATGTGAAAGATAGCTGATTTCATTTAGTTGCCTATCAGGAGTCAAGGGATTCCTCTATTGCACATTGTCTTTTCCCATGGACCCAACTTCTGCATGGCAGCAGAGACATTGAAGGCTGAGTTACTAAAGATGCTGGGACAATTTACAGGACCCTAGGGGGTAAGTCCACAGGATGATTTATAAGGAAGGGTGGCCTGTCTTCTTGGGGGAAGGAATAGAATGTTGGAGAGACTTCTGGAAAGCAGAGAGGAGTGAGTGAGTTGGATGGCTTGCTGGATCATCAGGTTTGAGGCACGGTATCCCAGTGAAGACTCTTGTTGCTGTTAAGTGCCACTGAGTCGGTTCGGACTCATAGCCACCCTGTCTGTATAGGGTTTCCGTGGCTGTGAATTATTGCCGGAGCAGAAAGATTTACTGCTGGTGGGCTAGAACGCCGGCTTTGTGTTGAGTCACCGTTTTCCCTCAATGAAGACTGTGTTGTTAAGTGCTTTTGAGTCAGTTTTGACGCATAGAGACCCTGTATAGGGTTTCCGAGCAGTTGCCAGTTCAAACCTACCAGGTGCTCTTTGGAAACCCAATACTGGGTTGTTATGTGTCAGAATTGACTGGACAGCACTTAACAACAACGGACAGGTATCAGGAGGTCTTAGGTGCCAGCAAAAGCAAACACCAGACTGGATGGAACACAGGGGAGCTGAGAAGGCTGAAAGGGCTGAAAGGCTGGCCATAAACGTGAGATGGATTAAAAAGTTCAGTGGGAGCCAGGAGGTTGTTTAATGTGTGAAGGGGTAGGGTGTCCTGAGAGAGGGCTGAGAATAATGTATTTGTTCAGACAGTTCTCAGTGTTGTGGTCTGGTGTCCTAAGGGTGTCACGGTGGCATTGATGTCAGTATTTAAAGATGCCTAGAAATTGAGCTATTTACAAAACCTTAACATTTCCCTTATCCGCAACAATATTTATTTATTAAGGTCTCCCTCAGTAACAGTAAGGTCAGCAAGTCACAAGAGCAGAACTGAGACTATTATGAATCGCATTGCACCTTTGTGCTCCATGACAGACGACTGAATTTTCAAATTCAAAACAACCATCTCTGTTTTCACAAACTACGTAATCAGTACCGAGATACACAATTTAAAAAAAAATCATGTCTCTTTCTGGGGGACTTGCACAACTTCACATAGCGCGCTGTATATGCCGTGCACCAAAGAGGCCTGAGGGTTTGTGTGGGTGTGTGTACTCCAGACCACCTTAAAGGTGCATTCTAGCAGAGAGCGGCCTCAGACTCAAGCGACTAGCCCCGCCACCCTGTCGCCCGAGAAGAGAATCTGGACACTTGGGCCTGGGGAAATTAAGGAATATATCCCAAGGGCCTTTCTCCTTTACCCCGAAGGCTAGCCGAGAAGACGCACTCCACTTCCAATGAAATTGAGTGCACGGAAGAGAACTGGGGAGACCCAGCGGAAGCGAGGGTGGCTGCATTTGTAGGCACAATCCCAGAAACCGAAAAGAACAATCCCCGAACCCATGCCCTGTCCCTAGGAGCGCCGGGTTTCTGGATCACTGTGTATGCGCCTCTCCCGGCGCCTACAGGCTCTGCACAGCCGATGGCTAGCGGCCCGGCCAGGTGCACCGACCCAGCCAACAGCGCACGTCTCCCGCCTCCCGGCACTGGCGGCCCCGCTGCAGAGATTTACCGCGGGCAGGGCGGTGGCTTCCGGGGCCTCTGGGCGCCCCGGCTCAGATTACAGGTTCACACGGGGGGCCTGGCCCGCGACCGTCCAGCCCCCGCCGGCGCGCCCTCGCGCGGCCTCGCTCCCCCGCCTGCCCATTCTTCTCCATTCATGCGGACGCCCAGTGCCGCCGCCAGCGCAGCCGCCGTCGCCGTCGCCAGCCGCCTGGATTGGCTGGCGGCCGCGGCGCCGGCACTTTCCCAC